AGCTTACGCTTTCATCAATCACGCCTTTCCGTTAGCTTGCCATAATATTATCTAAGCGTTAACATTGGTGTGAGGATGTCAACGCATGGTCGATCAATACATTGAATAAAAAAAAGAAAATGGTTTTCGCGCCTTCTAGTTCTGTCGAGTCAATGAGGAAGGAACCCTATCTCGCGGTCTTTCCTTTCTGGCACAGGACAAATTACATATCACAGGACTAATTACATCGCAAATAGGGCAGAAGGCAGATGCCAGGAATATATGGAAGCTTCTGATAAAAAAAAATCGTAAGCAGGGTGTGTGTGTGTGTGTGTGTGAGTGTGTGTTTGTACAAGTCCCCTGGTCGTAGCTTTAACTCAAGCACTCCTCCTGTATACAAGTTTTTCATCACATGGCGCACAAAGAGCATTTAGAAATAGCGTGCTTACCCACGGTACCTTTTTGTGCATCTTTTTCACGCTACGATTATGAGGTATACGCTACTAAATATTGACAAAATATGCGCCGACTGATCTATAATAAATAGTAAAAATTCAGCCACCATCCTCATTGGTTTTCCGAATGTCGAATGAACAAATATGACCCACGCAGGAACCTGCTATATACGGGCATCTAGCATCGACCTGCATGAATGAATGTGTATTGAATGGTGCGCGGGAACGCGTTCTGGGAAGTTTAATAAGTGTGCAGGCAACAAAAGCGTTGATAAGCGGCTAGAAATTTGATCCATAAAAAACAAGAGATGAAAGTGACATTGTAGGTGTTTCAAGAGGTGCAGAAATGAATAAACAAACAAGACAATTGAAAGAAAAAAAGTCAGAGTAAACGTCTCTGACAGGAAAAAACATATTCAAGTACGCAGAACGCTTTCAGAGAAGAAAGACGTCTATAAAACAGAGCTCGTAGTCCGCCTTTTTTTCAGACCTTCAGCGCACGGAGAAACGTTTTCCCCCTCTCTCTGGCATATTTTTATTGCCAACCAACTGAAGCAGCCATATGGTGGATTGCAAATAGTCAACTAGTGCTACCATTCCAGCACTTAATGTGTGACAGGTTTCATACCTGCAAATTTTTCATCAATGCGTGACCCAAACATTTATCTTGTAAAGCAATGGCTATCAAGACCACTCCGCAATGATCTCAAATCATATTTTTGCAGTTAATCAAGAAACGATTTACCGGAGCGCACAACTTTCTTCCACATGCAGAGAAGGAAACGCTTCAAATGTGATAAACAGAGCGGTCAGCCAGAAGGGTACTTGTGTCTGCTCTACAATGCTGCGTAAGGCAAAGATGCTAATGACAGGACAAGAGGCAGAGTGTGCATGACGACGATAGGATAGAGTGTACTACGTAGTAGATGCCTTATTTCCAACACTCTGTGCGCTTACATCTCACCTACAAGTCAGAATACGCAACCTATCCTTTTAGAGCCTAGAGTTGGGGCCACTCTCTGGTAAAAATATAAATGTCACTCGTGTTGCTAGAAGACTATTGTTCTGCCGTGGCTCGTCGTGTTTCTAAGAAGCAAGCCATCGACAAGCTGTCAAACCTCGGCGGGGCCTTGCCGGACGTGCCAGCAACTGAAACCAGGAGCTTCCTCGAGTGATTGTCTACAGCAGCTGCGCTCTTTCGTGCCGCCCCCCCCTTCTCCTGCTAACTTTGACGATCATGACTCATAATTCCGCACCAAAACATGTTGATTCCGTGTCAAGCAACTCTTACTAAGATGACTGCTGCAAACTCGGCCACCTCGCCAGCGTGGAAATAGTGCCCAATGCTCGAATTTGCCTTGACGTCATCTAAGTGGCTTCTAACGGCTTCATGGCTTGGTACACTGACCTCTTAGAAAAATATATCGCTCTGCATGTACCCTTAATGACTATGCGCATGACCGTGGATCTGTTTCCTGTCATGATGGCTTAGCGGCAACACTGATGACGATGATATGTGGGGTTGAACGTCCCAAAACCACCATATGATTATGAGAGACGTCGTCGTGGAGGACTCCGGAAATTTCGATCACCTGGGGTTCTTCAACGTGCACCCAAATCTGAGCACACGGGCCTAAAAACATTTCCGCCTCCATCAAAAATGCAGCCGCCGCAGCCAGGATACGAACCCGCGACCTGCGGGTCAGCAGCCGAGTACCTTTGCCACTAGACCACCGCGGCGGGGCTAGCGGCAATGCTGCACGACTGGTGATCCTATAGTATATAATAATGGATTGAGTCTAACGCCTTGGAACCATGATACGATTATGAGAACTGCCGTAGCGGAGGGGTCCGGAAATTTCGATCATCAGGGGTTCTTTAAGGTGCACCTAAATCTAAATACGTGGGCTTCAAGCTTTTTCGCTTCCACCTAAAATGCTGCCGCCGCGTCTGACATTCCATTCCGTGAAGTCGCGGGTCAGCAGTTGAGTGCCATATCCTCTAGACCACCGTGGCTGGTTGCATGCTGACCCAAAGGTCGTGTGATCAAATCCCGGTGGTGACGTACACGTTTTGAAGGAGGCTGTATGTTACAGAACAGATGCACCACGCACGTCAAGGAAGTCCGTATTGTCTAAACTTACAAAGCCCTTCGCGTCCTTAATTACCATGGGGTCGCTTTCGGGCGTAAACTGCCAAAAAACCATCAAGGAAGATACGTTGCTTCGTGCGCAGCAAGCACTGTGAAATTTTTAGTAGGCTGACAGTGAAAATTCTTGCGGATGTCGGGAAACCAATGCTGGGTGTGAAATTTACACTAACGTCATCGCCGGCCACGGTTTCAGGACGGCATCCGGGTGCACGTACAGCAACGTGAAATTGGCTTTCCTGAAATCGAAATTCTCCATGAAAATAAGATTCACCTCTCTGGGTAATCCAGCAATAACTGACGTGAAAATTTAGGAACAAAGTAACTAAGAGAAAAATTCTACTTCAAATATGCAAGGATAGTGTAAAAACGCTTGTTTGTTGGTGCGGGAGAACTCTAAATATGAACGGGAGCCCCGTTTCCTAGCTAAAGTCGGCAGCGTAGAAGCGGTATTTTCCTTCCTTGTGAAACAATCAGGTTACTCACCGCTTGAAACCACGTCGTAAAGCAGTAGTCACCTCTTTCTCTACCACATAAGTGAACCCCATTGCTACTCGGGACGATTTCTTACTTCATTTCCTCTCAAGAGGCTGCCATGAGTACTCAGTTCTTTTGCGTCGAAGTGTTAGCAAAGGCGCGCCGAAGACAAGCTCTTCTTCTTGCGAACTCCATAATTTGCCAAAGCAATTCGAATTACAGCCCGGAGAAAAAAAAACTTTTTTCCCCACCAAAAAGCTATTTTGTATTATAATTCTGTTCCATCGCTTAAAATATACATAATTACTCTATCATTATTGTGCGCTTTGTTTGCTTACTTCTATTGCATGCTCGTCATGTTGTTTATTTCGGTCAAAATATGGACATCACTTATCACAACCAGCTAAATATGGGAAGGAAACCGTACTGAGAAGACAATGTCTTTAAACAATCAGTAATACTCGATATAAGCGTCTTTAGTGATTCTGAGTATTCCCGCAACCCAGGATAACTAAATAAAGTGATGAAAATACGCATTTATCTCCATCACTCACAAAAACAAAACGCGCTAAATATTCACGATTCCGCGAATGGCGATTTCAAGATAATTTTAGTGTGGCGTCCGCAGCATCTAGGCACATGCAAGCAGCCATGGAAGATAGAGAGTTTTAGTTGGACGTCAGCAAATGCTAGAAGCCTGCGTCCGCAGAACTGTTACGGACAGTTACGAGCATAATTACAGGAGAGGACAGAAACCTTATCTATAACACGGAGAGCGAAGGAGGGTTGGACGTTTTATTTCTGCCGGCTTCGATGTCTGTGTCTTACGTCACAATCTTACCCACTTTACCCCTCCCTCTCCCGGGTGTGTAACAACACGCCCATGCACTTCAAAAGCTGCGTATTGTTATGCCAGCGAGTCCTCGTCAAACGTCCGTGCCTATGAAAAAGGCAATCTGGGTCAAGGCCAGCCCGCAGTCCGCCTGACGCGAACAACCCAACGGCGTGAACACGCGCGGCGCCTCTCTGGCCCACGTGCATTGAGTCAGCGGCGCACGTGACAGCGAGCCGGCGTCCTCGTGTCTGGTGGTCTGACGCATTGCGCGGCGACCCCATTGGAGGAATCTGCCCTGACGACCAGCGGCGCTTCTAATTGGACATTTGTGGTTGGACCCGGTGCCTATAAAAGAAGCCCTGCGGTGCGTCGCGATCGGAGGTCCTATGAGAGAGGAGTCCCCATGTCGGAGAGCCGACATGTGTGTGAGTCAGCGGTCTTAGGCGAAAGGCTGATCTATGTGTTAGAGAGGAGAGCTCGGCTCTTCGAGTCTCTGTCGGCCCCAGTGCCGAAATTGTAAAGCCTCTGTATATATGCTGTACATAAACCTTGTTTAACGCACCGTCGTCTCGTCCGCTCGTCTTATCAGCTCTGCGCAGAAGCAGTCGCGGGCTGAGAAACATACGCTACCAAACGGCTGGTGACCTTCCCGGCGGAGTTGAAAGCAGTGGCGCCTTCGGGGCCGTGTTGGCGTCGCCGTCTTTCGCAACAGTGGTGGCTTCGGCGGGATCCGTCCGTCTTTCGCAACAGCATGCATTCGTAGGAAAACAGCAGCGTAAGCCGATTTCAGAAAGGTTGCTTACTGCAATAGTCGGTTTGTTCCTGGTACTTACTCATGCCAGAATGAACATATGTATAAAGAAAGGTAGACAGCGGTAATGCATACTGTGTAGTCGTAATGCATACTGAACAAACCAGTGCTTCTGCAATCGCTCGCCTCTCTGTATTTTTTACCAATGGCAACTTTGGCCAATCTGATCATTGCTTTCGAGTTGACTTCGAAGAATTGGTGGCAACGACCGCGGAATGACTTGCCTCGGGGCCGGTCAGTGTAAAACAATGTCTTATAGTCACGACGTGAGCGGGACGAGAGCAGCGTACTCACTTTGTGATGAGGCACGTCTTGCCTACGGAGACGTCTCCGACCACCACCACTTTGGCTGCACGGACCCTGTGGCAGGACATCAGTGAAACCAAATAGATATTTAAAAAATATATATGGAAAGAGGAGAGATGGACAAATGAACTTATTCACTCGATACATTACGCATGCTAGCTGCATTCTTGATGGAAGCGATAACGTTTTAGTACCATGTACTCGAATTTAGCTGCACGTTAAAGAACCCCATGTAAGTCAAAATTTTTAGGACCCCCCTTTACAGCGTCTCTCATAATGATATCATTGTTTTTCGAGGCAAAACACCAGGCTATATTATTATTATTATTATTATTATTATTATTAATTTTACCGCTCTATTGCCATCTAGCATTTTGTGCACAATGGTAGTAGTGCCTGCAAGTATTATTGATTTTATTCTATTGTGGAATCACGAACTAACTAAAGAAAGAAAGAAAGAAAGAAAGAAGGAAAGAAAGAGAGAAAGAAAGAAGAAAGGAAGAAAGAATAATGATGATTCTGACATTCCGTCGCCTGAAGCCACAGTGCAAGAATGTGCCCAGAGCACAGCACGATCTGAGAATGCCACGCCTGCGGCATTCTATTCTTCTTTGACTATTACAAGAAGGCCTTTTGCTGCGTTTTTTTTTTTTGCTCGCGGCGCCTCACACGCAGTGTGGGCGCTTTGTGATTGTTTACGTCGCCCAGAACGTGCACGCGGGATCCTCCGGCCGACTCTGACGTATCCCTCTCTTCCTCCATCACTCTATATGTACGTAAAGACCTGTTCCTCCTTTTTCAAAAAGCTTTGCTGTTTTTCTCCGTGGAACGCTTTGCTCGCAAAGCGCAAGGTAAGGGGGGCCTTCAGAGCCGGTCATTAACGTCACGACGTATGGGAGGGTACAGAGAATTCACCGCGTGACATTGACCCGAAGCGAGCGGCTTCTCCGCACTCTCACTGTGACGCATCGCGCTGCATACGTATGATTCTATTTCTCACGACTTTGTTGCCGTTTTCAAAATGCAAAACTCTCATGTGTGTTATATATATATATATATATATATATATATATATATATATATATATATATATGTATGTATATATATATATATATATATATATATATATATATATATATATGAGGGGGGGTGACAAGCGGTGCTTGCTGCGCTTGCTCGTGTGTGAACTGAAGAACGTCTTGCGAATATTAGGTGTTACTTCTTTAGTATCTTGTTATTGGTTAATAGCGCTAGTGTTCTTTTTTTTTTTCTTATACAATTATGGTATTTTGTTGTAATAGGTTTGTCACGCGCGCGTTTGGAAGACGTTCCAACCTAAAGTTCATTGACCGAAGAAAATCTGAGTTCGAGCTCCTACGCAGGCAATTCGGAAGGTCAACGATTCAACAGTCTATCTAGTAACATGGTCGTACACCTCCCTGAAACAAGGTACGGAAACGGTGCCGATGCACACCTTGGTTCACGTTCTGCTTCTATTCACGAGTAAAAGAAATGAAAATGTAAATCAAAGCAAAATATTTTTTAAAATAGTTCACACCTTTAGACTTTAGTGGTTTGAAAGCGCCCGCGATATTTTTTAAAATAGTTCCGGTTGGAAATATTTATTAACTGATGAGGCACTTTACCACGTGAAACGAGCATGCAGTCAGAGGGCCCTGCGAAACCAAGAAACACAGCCAAAATGGCAGATGCATTGGGTGGGTAAACGAAGCCACAATTTCGCTTGTCAAAAACCTAAAAGCAAACCATATATTCATTACAATGTACAAAGAATCTGTTCAAATTGTTGAATAAAAACAAAGTATCCTTAAGCTGAGTGTACTATTGCTCATTTTCTGGGATGAAAAAATCCGCAGCATGACCCAATTTTTCGTTTTTTAGTACATCAAGGATCCAAAGAGACATTATTTACATGAGGGGTAGGCAACAAAAAAAAAACATAACAGATGAAACAAAAAAACGAAAAAAAGTGGCACAAACAATACCAAAATGTAGAATACCAGAAGTAGACCATAATTGGAAAGATAAAATATGAATTTTACGACGTTTTTAAATTGATTGCAGCGTTTTAAGTTTTGCGAGAAACGCCTCAACCATGCACACGACAGCGTTTCAGAATCACCTGGAAGCATAACCATTGGACGATTGGCTTGGAGAGGTGTAGTGTGTAGCGTTGGAGAGGTGTAGTGTTTACACGATCTTCGAGAGAAAGCACTGCGGGTGCGAGATTATAACAAACATATATCTGGCCTTTTACATCCTAATCGATTGCACGATTTGAGAAGTACTCAGAAAGTTATAGCTAATCTACACGCCAACTTTTTTACTCTCACAACCATGTTCCCAGGCACAAATTATCCCGTACGCGTGCGTACATACATACATACATACATACATACATACATACATACATACATACATACATACATACATACATACATACATACATAAATGCGGAACGATTTGAGCATCTCTCGGCCATAGCCAGGATCCTTACAGGGGCACCCTATTATGACGGTCTCGCTATTGCGGGGACTCTAAAAAGCACCAATAAAAAATATTTGCGCTTTGTGTGAACTCGCGGGCGCTTTCGTACCACTAAAGTCTAAAGGTGTGACCGTTCGTGGAGAAATACGTGGGCCATACACAGCGCATTTTGAACACAAAGCGGCAAGTCGAGGTGTACTTACTCGGCACCAACGGAGCTCCGCTTGAGACACGCATCGCGTATGTCCGGGGGGAAGTCGGTTTCCGGGTACGGTGTGTCCAAGTACGAGTAAGCCTGCACCACGAACAAAATATATATCGACTCATATTTCCCGGTTGCGTTCACAGCAACTAACGGCAGAGCGCAGCGGAAAAAAAAACAGGCCTTAATAAATTTCATCTGACCATGATGGTCCAGTAACTAAGATATCATGAATAATCTAAACGCACGAAAAAATGATTAAATTGATTGTTCCGCGCATGTCAGGCACCATACGATTAACTTCAACTGTATTTTTTACTAGTTATGACTGCAAACGTCTACCATCTGCAGTCTGAAACGTCCGAAACGCAGACACACTGGTGAATGGATCAGTCAGCCTCGATGGTACAACGCTTATGGTGCTCGGATGCTGACTGAAAGGTTGCGGGTTTGATCCCGGTTGCGGCTGTCGCATTTCGATGAAGCCAAATTATTAATGGTGCAAGGTGCGGTGGCAATGCACTAAATCCACACCATGGCAGATGCTCCAAACTTCTGGTGCCCGCCACTATGACTTTTTTCATTATCATATTGTCGTCTGGGCACGTTGAACGCCGGATAATATCATTATTACTGTTCAAACTGTTTCCATGAGTGATAACTCCAAGATATATTTTGGACCGCTAACTGCGCGGTTCCTAGAGGTGCCTCAGGAGTGATATGTAATATGAGAGGCATATTAATGACATGGCGCTTCCAGATGGTAACAGGAATAAAAGAACGCGTGTCAGGTACATATCAATCATCCAAGGCTGTTTTGTTGATTGTAAGATATATGCATCAGCATCAGCAGCATATCAATTGTCTTACGCACGTGTTTGAGAATAATACAATAATTAAATATTACACACGGAAAGGGATTAATAATCATAATACAAGCAATAGCTACACACACACACACACACACACACACACACACACACACACACATATATATATATATATATATATATATATATATATATATATATCATTTTTATCTCAACGCAGAGTGCTCGCGGATGTTACTCTACCAACCAACAACTCCGGTAAGATTTTCCACAAGTTTTGCCACTCACCGTACTCATGCTTGGTAAATAGACGAGCCAAAAAGTGAAATAAAATACATGTGTCTCCAAGCATAATCTATAAAACGTGTCACAGCATGATCTATGCAAGGGTCTAGTCAGATATGAAAGTTACAGTAGTGCGCCCAGAGTATGTCATTACTTAAGTTGTATAGAAATTATACATGCAATTATGCATTACTGCCGTTATCTTAGCCAAGCTGGTGTCCCACAAAAGGAGGTTAAAACATTTCTGAGATATATACTTTGCTGGATTCCGCTTCCGGGACCAGCCGATTGAAAAGCGGTCAAATAGCCCGATAACAGCAACATGAGCTGACATTGTCTCAAATGATTCGCAATAAAAAAAGTTACAACTTCACACCTTTCTACAAAGACAGCAAATAAAGATAGACACCTTGGGTGTACAATTGATTGATATGTGGGGTTTAACGTCCCAAAACCACTCTATGATTATGAGAGACGCCGTAGTGGAGGGCTCCGGAAATTTAGACCACCTGGGGTTCTTTAACGTGCACCCAAATCTGAGCACACGGGCCTACAACAACCTTGGGTGTACAAATATGTATGTGTATGTATATGTATCTTTTTAAATAAAACCATAGCTTGCGTATATGTAGCTTAGTATACACTATCTCATATTGAGAAGAGTAGATTGTCAATCGCTGAAAGAGGGCAGTGAAATGGAAGGCAGCGGGAAGAGAAAAGTCGAGTGTGGTCACAGTGTTTTCATGGGTAGCCTTCGTAGAACTGCTGCAAAACTTCCAGTTAAAGAGCAGGTGGAGAGCTTAATCTTGCTACCTGAACATAGCACGTTCGTTCCTCGTTTAAACAGTTACAGCACGAACCAAGCACGGATAACGGCTGCGAACAGTGCATGCACTTAGCCCACCTTGAAGAGCTTCCGCGCTCACTTCTTGGGTTAAGCCATGCCGTCGCCGACGCTGGCGCAGCGACGGTGTCTGCAATTGCGGAAACCAGGTGGGACAAAATCACTACGCTCGGAGAACGGGAAAATGGGCGTGGCTGTGACGTCTGGCGCCTGCGCTATCGTCCCTTAATTGAGTTGTGTCGAGCCAGGGGTATCATTCGGGTTTACCTTAGCACGACTCAGCTTTGAATCCCCGGGTGACCCTCACTACCGCAGTCTGCCACTTAAAGATCGTCATCTTTCTCTACACGCCGAGCACCCTCCCATTGCGTAGTCGCCTTGGCCTAGCGTCCTGCTCACCGCTGGAAGCCGTATACATGCCTCGCTCGCTGGGTAGTTGCTTCGGTGGGCTATGAATAGCGCATCTGGACAACATGAAAATGAGAAGCACGTTGGGTGTGGAAAATAGTCAATTAACGTACGGTAACCACGCTTCAGTGCGGCGAATAAAGTGTAATTATTGTTTATTCAATAAAAAAGACCCTCTCTCACATTTCTTAAACCATTGAACATTCTCCCATCACTCACAACATATATGTGTCGTGAAAACCCCTCCGGTAAAACCCAATAGGCGCTCTTTCCACCGCGACCTGCATACTAACCTCACTTAACTATAACACTCAGATTGAAGATATCTTTTTTGACTATACAAATGGTTTCAGCAAAGTTCCTCGGCATCGCTTTTATTAAATCTTTCCCAACTAAATTTACATCCCAGTATTCTGCAATGGACCGAACGGGCACACGTTGATCGTTCTCAGTCAGGCACTCTCAACAAACACATCCGATAATCCGCAAGGATCTGTCCATGGTCCACTTCTATTGTTAACAGTATTTGTTATCGATTTACCCGAGCATGTCTCCTGCAGCATTCACGTGTAAGGCTGCGCGTATACGTCACGATCTGTAACCTTCATGATAAACTTGGTCTTTGGGCAAGCCTTAACAGCTCACTTAATTCGTGTTTCTGCTGCTAAATAGTGTTCCTCATTCATACTAAATGTAAATTAGCATCCCGTCTCGTCCCAATAGCACGTATCAAATTCAATACTATATTGTTGACACACTGATTGAGTTTGTAGCATCCCATAAATACTTAGGAATAAGTCGATCCAACTAATAATCATAGAATACCCACATTGATAACATAGGTTGAGCATCGAATGCAAGACTATATTTTCTGCCATCCCTCCACGTAAATATTCTCACGTGTAAATGTTTTATTAGAACTGAACTAGAGTTTGCATGTGCTGTTGAGCCCGCATAAAGTGTATTTATTGTATACATTAGGCGTTGTCTCTAATTCTCCCGCTAGATTCAATCGATTTACCTAGTATTCATGCGAAGTCAGCGCATATACATTGGAAACAAAATTAAAAAAAAGACCACCCTTTCTTTTATCCATCCCATTGTAAGCCTTCATGTTTATTATAAATTATTTCATTCTTCCCTGAATCAGCTACCTTACGTAGCAGCCGCGACACGCGTGTCTCACCGCATCAGCCGCTCTCCTAAAGTTCACCACCCAACATCGCACACTATTAATTTTTCGGCATGGTACTTCTGTAGCTACAGACTAGGATAGCGTGCCCCGAGACACTGTAACTATCACTTTATATATAGTCTGTATTTCAAAACCGAGTTCTTGATCACGTTCAATACTAAAGCAATATTCGCTGCCTTATTCATTGGTTTGAATAAAACCCCTTTTTTGAGGCTTACAAAAAAAAAAACGAGGGACCTTACCATCGTGAACTGTACACTGGGCAATCAATCAATCACTTTATATTTCGTTCACGTTTCAATTGATGCAAAATGCTAGAAGCACGTGCACAGTGTTGAGTCCGGAATGTTAGAGAACACCGAATTGCCTGAATTTCCCAAGCCGTATACACTACGCTGAGCCTCATAATCACATCGGGGTTTGGGCATGCCAACTCCAAGATATCATTATTCAATATTCCTTTATTTTCCTCGAACGTGCTCAGTGTAATTTAATTAGGTTTAAGCCATAATTTACACGTAATCAGTTACAGTTTCGACGGGATTTTAAGGCGGAAAATGCACCGTTAACGTTTTTGTTGTTTACACGGAAATGTTCACGGGCATTTAATAGCGAGTGTTCCAAAGTCCTGGTAGCCTTTTTTTTCGTTTTGTTGCTCGACGTAGCCCACCACTTTTTTTTCATTACATGAACAAGTGCCGCTGTAGATGAATTGCGAAGACGCCTTTAACAATCTAATTTTCCTACCAGGGGCACTTCTTTGAAGCATTTTGAGCCAACACGAAAGTGCTACTCATGTTCGTACTCATGCAAACTTTTGTGCGCAACGTGCTCGCATAAATCACGAAACGCATCTTTCTGCTAGCCAATACAAACCAATAAATAGTTTAAGTTGACTCGCGTCTATGTTCAGAAGGGCTGCTATTAGGACCAAATAAAGTTGTTTCACTCAGTGTATATGCTCATGTTTTAATACAGAACTGAAAAAGGCTTACCATGAAAATTGTTAAAGAGCAACTGCTAGTGACAATAAACAAGACATAAAACGCTGCAGAAGACACAATGAAACAGTCAGGCCTGCAAAGTTCTACGTACTATATTTGCATGACTTTATGAAGTATCAGAGCTGCGTAAAAGTAATAAATTGCTTTTGAATCAATCCTTCGTTATTTTTTTCTATTACTGGTAATATTATTATTAAAATCACCGATAATAATAATAATAATAATAATAATAATAATAATAATAATAATAATAATTCTGGTTTGACATCCCAAAATCACGGTATGAATCTGAGCGATGCCATGGCAGAGAGCTTCAGAAACTCTTCAGACCATTTGGTGCACTGACGTTACAAAGTGCCGAATTTCTGTAGGTTCCCCTTGTTTGCGCGTTTATTCGCGTGCTACCGCTGAAATTTGTGAGCCACAACAGCTTCGCTTGGTGAAAAAAAAACAGACACAAAAATTACGTAGGCAAAGCCTGCCTCCACGCTTATCCCCGCGTAGTTACTATTACCAAAAGTCGAGCGCGTGGGCCGTGTGGCTGCGCCTGCGCCATAAATAGGTGAATGCCGACGATAAGTAGAAGCAGGCCGCCGGCAGTCTGGCTGCATCCACCCGCCCGCATGCGTCGTGAGGCCCGCGAACATGACGCATCCTTTATACTAAGCAGTGTCGTTGCTCTCGGAGACACCTCTCGTGGATTGCACTGATGAGTACAACAAAGGCTTGAAATTCTATGCGCCAGAGTTTGCATTTGTGTAACGATGTCCCGAGCAATGCGGCGGTAACATGACTCCACCCCCCCACCCCCTCTTTGTCGTTTTGCACGCTTCCGTCGAGGACACCTCTTTTAAAAGCACGTGGAAGCTCTGCATTACCAAAGCATTCATCGCCTCGCAGACGCCAGACTCCACAAAAACAGACGTTCTGTTTGTTTGTGTTGTCTTCCGCTGATGGTACATGCACACCAAGGGCAATCGGCCCGGAATCGGACGGTGTTGCAGAATAACTTATCAATGAACACAAAACAAATAGTAAGTGGTGGGGTTCACCTCTGAAAACCACCATATGATTATAAGAGATGCCATATTGAATGGCTCCAGAAATTTCGATCACCTAGGGTCAAAGTACGCCCAAATCTAAGCACACGGGCCTCAAGCGTTTCCACCTCCATCAAAAATGCCGACGATCTGGCCTGCATTCAAGCCCGCTACTTTAGAAACAGCAGATGAGCAACACAACGATTTGACCGTGCACCGTGACAGGTGCTATGCACGGATAGATCTCGATGCATAAATCATTTCTTTAATTAAGCGTTTCTGTGCTGAGTGTCCGACTGATGATAAAGTCGATAGCGAGACAAGCCACAAGAAATTGTCATCTTCATATTTAAGATACCACAAAACCGTTACAACTCGAGATGTTTTTCTTTCATTTTTCAAATAAATCACTATTTATGGCTACCGCCAAGGCCCCAAATCAAACCCGTGTTAGAGCTCCGCAAAATCGCCCCATGACCGCTACATGGACACTACGTCGACGCTTGCCCGACTCTCCAGTT